ACCACCTTTCATTATTTTCTATCACCTTGAATATTTTTCAAAGCAGCACGCTAAAACTCACATTTTTGTTTATAAATTAATAACAAAAAAGCATACCTGTTTATTATCGTTTGTGCATTCTCTGGTGTTTCCATTAGTGATTTGTTTCAGTTTGAGATTGGCCTTTCATATTAAATAGTCTTCTGCTAAAGTTGAAGGGAGTGTTATTTATACTAGCAAAATTTTGCACTTCTAAAATTATTTTAGATATGAACCGTTTTTACTGTTTTCATTACTTCACCTGAATTGCTTTGAGGGAAAAGTAACTGTGACATGATGTAGTGGGATATGATGATAGTGATAGAAACATCGTCAAGCCAGGACCCAGAAATCAGAGTAGTGATCATTGACCAAGTGTACACCCTGTTTCTAAAGCATTTTATATTAACTTAATGACTTAATCCTCACTACAACTGCTGTTATATCCATTTCACAGACGAGGCACAGGAAAGTTAAGGAATTTGCCCAAGATCACGAAGTAAGGAGTCGAGAGCCAGGATGCAAAATCAGGCACACTGTGGCTTTAAAATCTGTGCCCTACAATTCACTATTGCAAGGAGATGGAAACAACCGAAGTGCCCGTCAATCCATGAGTGGATTATTAAAATTTGGTATATGTTTACAATGGAATATTAATCATAAGAAACGACAGTGATCTAGCACCTCTTATACTTTCCTGGATTAAATTTAGGCCCATTTTCCAAAGTGAGGCACCACAAGAGCAGAAGAACAGGATCCACTTGTACTCGCCATCAAATTGGTACTAACTGATCAACACTAGGGTGATCACATGGCAGAAATACTCTCTAGGGATTAGGGGGATGGGGGGCGTAAATCCACAACTAAAGGACACGGGGAGCACTGTAGGGGGGAGGGCATGCCTTTAACCCGCACTTGGGTGAGGCAAAGACATAAAGTGTAACCCTAATGTTTGTACCCTCACAATACCCTGGAATAAAAAAAAAATCTGTGCCCTGAACCCTTAGGCTTTGATTCCCTGTGACAGCAGGGGTTGTATTCCTGCTCATCCACCTGACTAGCTTCCTAACATTCTGTGCGAGGTGTCTAGGCTCTCTGTGCCTCCATTTTCCACTGTAAGCTCAGCAGGTAATATCTGCCCAACTTTTCTCATGAGAATGAAGTGAAGCAATAGTGGGAGTTTTCAAAAAGTGAAGTAGATAATAGGTGTTTATTGTACTCATTATTTATACTTTTTGAAAAGTGTATTAATATTACTTTGAATTTACTCAATATTTAGTAAAAATATTTTAAAGTATTATATAAGTTAGATTTTATTTCATATCTGACTATACATTCCAACAGGATATTAATGAAGAAACAAAACTCTTTATTAAAATATATGGATTCAGTGCAATAGAGGATAAAAATTAAAGAAACAATCTGAAATCATCTTGAAGAAAAATAAGTTTTAAAATTCAGATTTAACATGAAAAATTATCCATCATATATCCTCACTCAAAAATCAATTTATAAATGTAAAGACGAGATAGAAAGAAAAGGCAAGGAAACACCTGGACAAAAAAAAAATTAAGAAAATTAAAATGATGGATATTACACTTCACAGTTATCTCAGCGTATCGACATTCTTCACCTAAGACATGTCATTTTCACAGGCTTCCAGCTTGGAAGTCACGCAGTAATTGATATGTGGCTCAGCTTATTAGAAGTGTAGGGAATCAAATTTAAGTTTCCCTTTAACCTTTTCTGCTACTTAATTTAAAATAAATAAAACCAAAATGTTGAAGGTGAGACAATAAAATGAAAAGCTTCCTGTGGAAGATTTTTTTCCCCTTTTCTCTTTACAGGGAAAAGCAGACAATTAATGAGGATTTGTCACTTAAGTTTGAATACTTAAGTTTCTCAGCTGTGAGGGCCGTGAATTAGTATAGATCTAAAGGAAGACAGAAGTGGCCCCCTCACCAGAGTGCCTCTTCCCATCTCATCTTGATTTTTCTTTTTTCCCAAGAGAGAACTCTGAGGCATCTCATCAGGTCGTGTTGATCTATCTCTAGCAAAGTGTTGTTTCCCTAAGGTTGTTACAGATTTCTGTAAGGCAAAGAAGTTTGGAGAATTTTTAAATGACACGAATTCTTGACAAATGGAAAATGATTGCATCCAAAGTGTAAGTGGCTGAACTGAGAGAAGATGAGGTTTCCTGGAGTTTATGTCCAAAGCACATCTTTGAGGCATGTCAACGCTACTTCACCCAGTTTTGTTTATAACCATTTTAACACTTTTCTGCCTGCACAGTGCAAAAGCAGCTGCTTTGTGAATTTAATTTTAGAGGAAAATGGAAAAGCTCTATGGAGCCAGGCAAGATATAAAATGGTTTACTTAGAAAACACAGACAAATATACTAAGACTAGAAACGGTGAAAGACAATCTGTTTTCCCCTAGGGTTATGGTTTCACTTATGGACCCATCCAACTCCCAAATTCTCAGTTGTTTTCTTTATGGAGATTAAGTATCCAGCATTAACCTACTGATGTGTTTAAAAGAAAGACATTTTGGCTAAAAGGACTCTGGACTTGGGAACCCCTGTTTCTTGCCATATTAAGAGAGTCCTACTGAATTATGAGACTCTGAGTGCTTTGTAATGAGGAAAGAGATTATTAGGTTAATTAAATCAAATTACAGTCGGTCCTTCGTATTCATGAGTTCTGTATCTGTGGATTCAACCAACCACCAGATAGAAAATGTTCGAGAAAAAAAAACAATAAAAATTAGCAATACAATAAAAATAACACAAATAAAAACCTAATATAGTATTACAGCTATTTACATGTCATGTACATTTTATTGGGTATTATAAGTAATCTCGAGATGATTTAAAGTGTATGGGAAGGTGTGTATAGGTTATGTGCAAATACTACATTATTTTATATCAGGGACTTGAGCGTCTGTGGATTTTGGTATCTACAGGGCTCCTGGAACCAATCCTCTGTGGATACGAAGGGACATCTCTATTGCTTATAAAGTTGATTAATTATTACAGATTTGTCTTGGTTTTTAAAATGGCTTTGACTTTCAAGTTACACCTCATTCATATTTATTTCTTTTTTTCTTGGAAGGGACAATGGTGGTGGGACAGAAAGACACTTTTATTTTTGGAGTTGGAAAATAGCCTGTTGCAGAGAAAGAACATTTTAGTGTTTTTACCCATTGTATATTAAAACAAGATTAAAGAACAGCATGGATTTCAATAATTCCATGTAATTTCCATTTATTTTATTTTCTAAAGGAGTTGAATTGTATTAAATTTGGGCAGCTACCAGTTTTACACTACCAAACACAACAGATTATAAAACAATCCTTTAAATGACATCCCTCTGTAGCTTTCTAATTACCAGTTACCCCCTTGGTGACATATCTGAACATGGAGCCATCTGGATAACTCACGATGCCTCTAGGGCTGTTGTCTGAAGTTTGTGTTCTAATACTTCGGTCCATAATACTGTGTGGTGGAACTGCTCTTACTTCCCTATACTTCACTGCACTTTAAGTTTAAAGAGAGAAATGAACACTGGATAAATAACTAAGCTTTGGGATCACTTCTACCCCCTACCCCCCAAACCAAAATATTTTATAAATCCATCTGTAATTTTAATTACAAGGTCTACTTTTTGAGGTTGCTGTGAGCTAGGCTGATGCCACCAAGGTCTACTCTTTGAAAAAAATGAACCACTATTTATCTGTATATAACACGCTTTCCCCTTTCTTCCCACTCCACCCAATCTTCAGGGTTTTGTACCCACACCTTGTACCAGCTGGTCAGCTTTCCGCCAGCACTCCCTTTATTCCCCTGGCCATTTCACTTAGTGAGTCCCTGAAACAGTTGCCATTGCTCCAACGGCCAGTTGCTCAAAGGCTCTACGGAGAGTAGTTTATTTTGTTCTCGAACATCTGTAAAGATATGCTCCATTGTGAATTAAGCCTTTTTAGTGACAGAGCCCCACCAGCCTTATCAGGAGAAGTTCCCAGACCTCATTATTGATAATGGATCCATGGTAAGTCAGCCTGTTGTGAAACCTCATGTTCAGTTATGCAGGATAATGAGTGACTCAAAACTTCACATGTCTCAGCTATCGTCCTTATGATAGGAACTGTACAGCTTCCTTCAAAAGTGAAACAGGATTTTAAGGAGAGCGGTTCACTTTTATGTCCAAACGAAAGTTATCACCAACATTCAGACTGACCTGATTTTAAATATCTGATTTTAAAATATGACAGGATTGCTCTTTAACTTTATATTTCACTGATCCTTTTGTAGGAAAGTTAGGACAGGTTTATTCATTTTTAAGTGTTAATTCTGGAATTCTAAAAGTATGCAAATGGCATTTGTCTTTGGATTCACAAAAACTCTAGATATTCAGAGTTTGAATTATTTAAACTCCCACAACACATGCACTTTTGCTTTTCAAGCATGAGTTATAATTTAATTAAAAACTTCTGGTGCATTGCTAGCATTTTAAATATTAATATGTTCCATGGATCACTTTCGATTATCTACTGTCTTGAAATTCTTGAAGATGTCAGATTTTTAAGATTCCCAAAGTTACACTTGGAATTGTCTGTTGAGGCAAAGGGGACTGTGATAATTACACACATCCATTAGGATCAGCAGAGGAGATAAACTTTGGGGAGGCTTAATGGGTATGTCTCAGTGACAGCTAGCAAAGAGCATTTGGCATGATTAAGGATGGATTTGAATGCAGTTGAAAATATACTCTCATTATGGACACCCAGTGGAAGTTGCACTACAAATGTTAAATTCCCCTGAAGAAGAGTGGTGTTTCAGGGAAGCTTTGAAATCCACTGTGGCCATCCTCCAAATTATTCTCTTTTCTTTATGTCTTTCTGCTGTCAGAATCACTTTGTGATGCCCAGTTCAACTCCCTACATCTCTGAAAAGAGGCAACCTGTTGATCTCTGTGTTTCAGATTGTCCGGAGATACATCAAGGATTGGCTTGAAAGAAAGAAGCCTCCTTTCGGTGCCGTCAGCAGCAGTGTGCTCCTCATGATCATCTACACAACGTTCTGTGACACCTTCTCTAACCCAAACATTGACCTGGACAAGTTCAGCCTTGTTCTCATACTGTTCATAAGTAAGTTGGAAATGGGCTACCCTGGCCATCCCTCAGTCTCCCCAATAGCAAAGTGTAGCAAGTTGTGCTCTCCAAATTCATGTCTAATGTTAATATGACTGGAAACGAATACTTAGTTTCATATTATATTTATCATGTGTATTTATTCTATAAAACAACATCAGTTATACACTTTACGATCTTAACCTCCTTTGTTTTTTGTGTCTGATGCTCTATTTTCTGATTTATAATAGTTGATGTCAGATGAGAGAAGCCTTCATATCTGTCAAATTCAAATGTTAGATTGAGCACTTTGTCATCAATTTAGTTTATTATAATTTTAAACTGATCTCACCCCTTATTGTGATTTAAAAACAGGATTTATAATATATGATGCTACTATTTTTTAAGCATAATAATGTGGCTGCATTGGTTAAATTGTGAATATTTACATCATATTTTCTAATAAAATATACCCAAAGTAATATCATTTCATTTTGAGAAGCAGCAGACTATTAGCAGTAACTTTAGGTAACTGCTAAGGCTCAAAAATCAACCTTTTGTTCTATTTATCCTATAATACTGAAGACAACCTTTATTAATATTGTAATATCAAAGAATCCTTTGTTATTAAAATCAAGATGAGTTATTTCAAAGTATATATCATATGCCCCTGCATTTGTGCGATTTGCTATAAATACTCATAGTATAAACCAGCTTTTTCTAAATTGACAAAGTTAAATAACCATATCTTAAATCAAAAAGAGTTAGATTTTCCCTGAGTAGTAGGTATCAAAGACAGTGTTTGGGGATATTACCGATAAGAACGGGTTGAGTCCCACTAATTTTAAATGATTCTATCAGTTTAGCAATGTGTGTTTGGTTTGTTCGTTTTTTTTTTTTTCCTTTTGAGTTCCCATAAGTTTCAGATAAAACTAAACATGCCAGTAAATATACTACAGATAATGCTTTACAAGCGCTAATTTAGATTCAATCTTTTTTTCTTCAGTAGTTTCTATTCAGCTGAGTTTCATGCTTTTAACCTTCATCTTTTCAACAAGGTAAGTGATTTGGTATCTTTTGTTGTTAGTTTCCGAAATGAGGAGTCATGCTCTTTACTTGGCTACTGTGCTACTATACTGTTCTATTTTTTTCTCCTGTCTCCCTGACCATTCTATCTCCCTCCTGCCACCTTCAAATTGTAGACATTACAAAGGATCTGTCTTTGGCCCTTGTCTTATCTGCCTACCTCGTGCACTTGGGCAGCCCCGTCCATTCCATTGGCTTGAGCTGCTAACATCATACTGATGATTTTCGAGTCTAGACCTTCCATTCCAGTGTTTTTCCTGAGTTCCAGCCTTATTTTTCACCTGTCATTTAAATATCTTCACCTGACTGTCATAACAAAACCTCAGACTCAAGATACTCAAAATGGATTAATCTTTTTCTGCAAAACTTCCTGTTTCTCTCTTATTTCTTCACTTATTTTTAGTGGAACCACCATCTTCAGAGTTACTCAAACTGGAATCCTTCACTTCATTATTTTTTTAATTTCTTGATCCTACCTCTATAATATTTTTTCTGCTCCCAAAGCCACTTCTTCCCTAATTCAGGCTTTTGTTGCTTCTTTTCTCCCTAGACTATTGCAATGGATATCTTACTGGTAACTCCATTTCTAGGCCCAACTTTTCTAAGCCATTTCATCCTGCTTGCAGTGACTAAAAGTTCAGATAATGACTCTCTTGTGCAGATATCTTCAGTGGTTATTCAGTGCCTGTAGAATGAAGTTCATTTTAGAGGGCAAGGCCCTCCAGTCTATTTTCCAACCTCATGAACCACTACTAGTATTCATGCTGCCTAAGATTTAGATTGAGATAAAATCTTTGCCGTTCCCTGGAAGAACCTCATGCTTTCTCATTTCCGGCCTTTGCTTAGGCTATCCCCATGTCCAAATTGGTTTCCATGCCTTAGTTCATCTTCCTTGTTCTCAAAGGCTCACCTCCAATGTAAATTCTTCCACCTATATTATATATTCAGAAAGTATTACTTAAGCATTTAGGGTAAAAAAGTTACCATAGTGAATGCCACAAATAAGAGATGATTCTGATGCTGCAGGAGTGCATAGACTAGGTATATGCGCTGATAACTAAGTGTTCTCTGAGTGGTACAATAAGGCAACCTATAGTCAATTGAAAGAAGAAAGCACTTTCCAAAGAGAGCAAGGCTTCATGGAGGAGATGGGGTTTGACATGAATCACAAAGGACGGCTAATTGTTCAGCAATCAGAGATGCCAAGGGGGTTCTTGCTGGAACAAGAAGCAGTAATGCAAACGTAGACACACACATGAAAAAAACAAGACATGGTGGGACAGTTGGGGTAGAGGAAGATTGAAAATAACAATAATAAGTGGAAAGGTAGGCTGGGCCAGATTGCAAGGCCTTTGAACACTGGGGGACAGCAATGAGTGGCCACAAGGGAAAGGGCCCAGGCTGTTTGTAAGGCTTGAAGTCAGAGCGGTCGACGGTTCAGGCCTCACATCAGGCACTTGGCTTTACCACACTTGGTATAGCACTAGGTCGATTATAAACAGTCAATGTAAACTTGTTGATTGATGTAATTTGAAGCGTTTTCCCAAGCTTGAGATTGTGATTTATGAAGTAAGAGTAAAGCCTGGAGCCATTAAGTCACAGAGAAAATGTGACTTAATTGGGTAAGTCTGAGAGTAGGAGCTATTTTAAAGTTCTTTTTGTAAATGGCTTGTTATGTCACCTTAGGATAGATGTTTGCCTTTCAGTGGCTGTTTGTTTGCTGGTCCTTGTGCCAAAAGTAATAATCAGACCCCCTTGTCCTATCAGACTAGGTAGGATGCGGTATCCTGTTAGTGGCTGAAACATCCCCTGAACAGATAGAGCACAGAACAGCCGCTACTGGGACTGCTGCAGGAGGCACCAGGGCTGGGGAGCAGGGCTGTCACAGCTAGTCGAACTGAAATGAAGAATTTTCAGCATGGAGTAGACTGGACTTTCATAAGGACCTGTGGGTTTGAGATCCTTCTTTTCTGCTTTATTTTGCCTTCACTAAAGTTCTGTTGCATTTTGAACTTCCTCAACCTCTGTCAGACATGCACATTCTTTGATAAACAACAACATATGGAACTGCTACAATCACGCTCCAGGTTAGAGGTTGCGAAGCCCCAAAATATTCCATTAAAATTTGAGAGTTTCTCAAATGAACAAAATTTATAAAACAGTTTTCATATTCTGTTTTCATGTTGAAAGACCCCATAGCTTTTGAGGATTTTATTGGAGGAATGAAAGATGCCAATATTTATTGAACCTGCTCCATGCCAGGCACTGTCGTAGGAATTGTGTGTATGTTGTTTCATGTAAGCATCAGAGACTATGATACTTTGCATTTTTACTGCTATTTTGCAGACGAGGACCCATGCTTAGAGTAGTTTAGTAATTTGCCTAAAATCAGATTTCAGTACTTTAGTAACTTAACCAAAATCAGATGGCAAGCAGTACACCTAGAATTGAAATCCATTTCCATTTGACTTTTCCAATAGCATTTGCCCATGGCTTTTCCACTGTACTAAACTATTTCAACTACTTTTTTGGTTTTTGGAGGGTCTCGGAAGGGTCTTCCTCTGTCACCCAGGCTAGAGTGCAGTGGCATCATCATAGCTCACTGTAACCTCAAACTTCAGGACTCAAGCGATCCTCCTGCCTCAGCCTCCTGGATATCTGGGACTACAGGTGCACACCACCACGCCTAGCTAATTTTTCTATTTTTTTTGTAGAGACGAGGTCTTGCTCTTGCTCAGGCTAGTCAATCTCCTGGCCTTAAGTGATCCTCCCGCCTCGGCCTCCCAAAGTGCTATAAAGGCGTGAGCCACCTTGCCTGGCCTTGATTACTTTTAAAATCCATAATACTTGTTTTGGTTAGAGAATTTATAAAGAGTATTTGACTAAATTCTTCAAGTTTACACACAAATAAACAAATTAGCCAAAGATACCAAGAGTTTGAACTAGGACCCACTAGTTTATACTCTATTAAGTAACATTTTCTTTTCCTACTTTTTGTTCCTTCCTACGTAAAATTTTTGAAATTGCCCTGTGTATGTATGTGCCTTTTTTTTTCAGTTTTTTCTTACCAATTCAGTAAATCTAAAACCAATTTGGATATCAAAGACAAAAATCTTAGCATGGAAATTTGTCTATCTTTTTTATGTACGCATGCAGCATGATGAAAGTTTAGCATAAAGCCCAGAGAAACCCAGCCCAGAAAATTCAACTTTCTTACAACACTCTGCTTAACTGCTTAGCATTTCTTAGATTTACTTACCTAATGTGTCACCATGCAAGTGAGCATTTAAACTATATTTGAGAGTGATTATTCTATGTTCTTATTTATCTGTCTATAGAATGGGGTCAAGGTTAAAAATTCCAACTCTCGAGTCAGACAGACTTGGCTTTCAGTCCTATTTAATAACTTTGTAACGTTGGTCAATTTTCTTATGTACAAAAACGACAATAGTAGTACCTATCTCACAGGCTCATTTTGAGAAATAATATGCACTTAGCCGTCAGCATAACACCTAGCATATAGTAAGTGTTCAATAAATGTTAGCTACTAATTAATTAGACTATTAATTATATCAAATTAGTTTATATTATATGAAAAACTAATGATAGAAGAAGGGGAATTAGCTTTGCTAGTTTTGCAATACATTATTTTTGACTTTTCTCTGTCACAGTTGCTAGGAAATGAGAGTTGACTCACCAACTAAGAGTCAGCTATCCATGGTGACCTAAGCTTTCTGCAACTTTGGGAAACTGTCAAAGGTTTTTTAAAAAGTTGAAAAAGAAAAAAGAGCTGTAACTGGGAATCTTAAAAATGTATAAAAATATATAAAAGACAGTTTGGTAGGCTGATAACTAGAGTAACAGAAACCTAGATTGTCACTAGAATGATAAAAGAAACCATTAAGAAAGGAAAAGGAAGAAAACAAAGATTCAAATATTTGTATAAGTGTTTAAATTCTTATCAGTACATTTTCAGTCAGATGACTCAGTAGGCCTCTCACCACAGCCCTGGGAGAGGCCGGGTGGCTGACGAGTGGCAGAGGGAGAAGGCAGGCGAGGAAGGCAGACAGGCGTTGTCATGACGATGGTAAGTCTCCTTACCATTGCAGGGGGGAGGCAACGAAGCCATGGAGCGCTGGGTAACTTGTTTAGTGCCACACAGCTAATGACGGAAGAGGTCCTCTCTAAAATTGGGCAAAGACAAAACACAAGTACAGAGGTTAACAAAGGAAAGTATTTCACATGGAAGTTTTCTCCTCTAAACACAGTAGGCTTAGACAGAACTATCTCAAAGGACCTTTTCTGCTCCACATTCTGTGATTCCACTAGTAAAACCTGACATGTTTTCCTCTGTGGGTACTGCAAAGCAAGGCAAAATAAATATTATGTGGAAAACACTGATTGAAAGCTTTGTAAGAAAGAATGAAAAGACCAGTTGGGAAGAAAAGGAAATAAACATCTCAAGGGAAGGCCAAGCGATCAAAAGAATCATTAAAAACAGGATAAAAAGAAGATCAATATTAAAAAGAGATAAGGTAGAGTTAGAAAATAAATAGTAATGTGATTCCTTTCAAGAAAGTGAGCAGACACAATGGAGATATTAATCACTGAAAACAACGATAGTCATTGCTACGTGAATATAATGTACAGGACACTTCATTTTTCTGTGTGTTATCAGGACCTTGTGCCACGAAGCCTCCCGTGACAGCGTATGACTAAGGGTGGGATACTTACCAAGATAGCTGCTCTCACTCATTAAATTTTGTAGTGTTTTTGTTTTTTATATTTTTTCATATTTTCTTTCTCAGAAGGCAAACTTTTGTCTAAGATTTGGAGCAGCCAACTTACTAGTTGTGTGACTTTGGGGAAGTTGTGTAACTTCTTTGTGCTCAAGCTTCCTTTGTGGAAAAAGCAGGGCAAATAGTACTATCTCCCTTATAAGGTCAATCTGAGAAGGAAGTAACATTGGATGCAAAGTACTCTGAAAAGTGCTCGATAATGTTTACTGCTGTGGTAATTTGTCATCATCAAGAGCAAAGGGTTAAGTGAGCATTTGCTCTGTTCACTTTCCCTGAGATCTGTGAGGTGGAGCATTCTGGTACCACATAGCCAAAGGACAAGTCCACCCTACTGAGGAGGAATACTGTTATTAACTTTAAATATTCCATCTTTATGCCTTAAGGTTCTAATCCTCCCTTCCCACTGACGGACTTTGTGTCAGTAGGGCTATAAAGCAGTGTTCCAACTCAAACCAGCCAGAAAGCTCCCAGCGTGGTGTCTTCACCTGAACCAGAGGACGAGTAGCATATCTAGCAAATACCCTCTGTAGCCACATTGTAAACACTGCCCTAGTGAATGGCAGCTGGTGCCAGATCACATCAGAGCCTCCCTGACCAGAGAGACTCAGACACATTGGAAATGTGCTATAACCTGGGAAAGAGCAAGACATCAAGCAGAACAGAGTTCACTAAAGGAGAAGTGTATTGCCAGACTCTCTAGGGAAGAAAACCAAACTGTATAAACCCGGGTGCAGCAACCATTGGGTATAAACAAGGGCAACAGAAGACTAAAAAGGTCTTTGCATTGTTACTAACACTACAAGCATTGCTGGAGAACATCCCAAAACTAAGCCAGCTGGTGACACTACATGTTCTGCAGTCCCAGGCGGGCAGTCACTCCTGCACGGAAGTGTTTTACTCGTTGTGAATGGGCTGTACATCATGTTTTCCTTCTGCCTATTTCAAGCTTTCCCAATTTCTTTGGTTCCCGGGCCTCGGTATTACTTCCAACTCCGTGCAGACGAGTGACATGCCTCACACTTTTCAAAGAAGTAGAATCTCTGACATAAGTTGTCTTTGCTTTCCCATTCTCTACCTGAAGAAATTTCTGTATTTTTCCCTCACCTTGTCTACTGTTGCTTCCAGCTCGGACATGGTAGGAAACGCCCCTCTCCAGCTAATTCTTTCAGCCTTGTCCAATCAGGCCTCTTTGGGAACTTGGGTTCATCCGTCATTTCTGTCTGCTGCATCTTTACTCTTTCTCTGTGATCATGTTCAAACAGCCCATGTTCCTTTTCTTCTCTTCACCAGATTTCTTAAAAACACAGTCCTTCTCGCCCCTGCAAATCCAGTACAGTTCAACATCAGCCCCTCGACCTCCTGCCCAAGCCCCTTCGGGCCTTCTCTTCCATTTTCTGTTCCATTAATGCCTCAGTGCTTCTCGCAGTCCTATATGCTCAAAGTTTATAATTCTTCCTCCTGTCTCAAAGCAATATAATAATAAAAATATCAACGAGCATGTGTTAATCACTTACACTATGCCAATTTCTTAATGAGCATTAGCATGTATCCTCACAACGTCGCTAAGAGGCAGGCAGGATCATCCTCATTTTATATATAAGCAAAAGGATGGTCTGGATCGAAATCAGGTGTGTTTGCCCCAAACCCTGTGCTTTTAAGCTGCATAGAGGTTAACAGTTGACACATTCATTCCGTCCCCTTGTCTCTTGTCACCATCTCTGGTCCTCACTCTGATTCTTCAGGTCCTTGCGGCTCCCTGCTTCCTGCCTAGCCTCACCATGTTCAGTCTTATACCGTGTCATGTGATTGCTGCTCCTAAGGATGGGTCTGATCATGTCATTCTACTGTCCCCAACCCTTCAGCAGTTCCCTTCATCCCATCTTATCAAGCCCACACTCCCGGGCACAAGCCAGCGTCCCTACACATAAGTCAGCCCGAAGGTCTGCTCTTTGCCCACTGCCCCTCCACTCCCACACCGCAGCCTCACCATCCCGTACCTAAAACACACATCTGCACGTGCTGAAACCTATTCTTTAAGGCCCGGCTCAATTGTTATTTCCTCCTAGAAGGTTCTCTTAGGCTCCATCATCACCTCCCACTTCCCGCACCAAGCTAGAGATAATAGTTCGCTTTCAGTGGCAAATCACTTTACTTCTCTCTCTCCTCTCTCCTGTACTCCTTTCATCTCTCAGCCCGTGTGTTCACAGCCCCTTACAGAGATCTTTCCCCTGGGGTAAGGAATAAAGGGATGAAGAAATATGTCAGCCTTGTAGCACAATGGTTAAAGCACAAGAGTGGTATCACAATGTAAATATGAGAATAAACTGTGGAAACAGTAAGGCAGTCTTATACTCAAATGATAACACATGTGGGGAGAATCGTCCACTGAGGTGAGACACCAAAAATTCAGTTTGGAAAGTTGTTATCAAGAAAGAGCTAGCAAAAAAAAAAAAGAAAGAGCTAGCAATAGGAATAGTTAGGAGACAGGAACATATATGCCTTTCAAAGAAGAGGAAACCAAAGGGCCATTTAAATATTCTCTTGACAGGGGCATGGGGGATGAGGAGGAGAAGGCTCTTCTCCCTCCGGGGAGTATATAACAAAGAAAACAGGATATGGGATCTATTTAGGGAAGATTTTTCTCCTGGCAAAAGCTATGCATGGAGATGAGGTTACTAAGGGAAATTGCAAGATCTCTCTCATTAGAGATCCTTTAAAATTGGGTAGATTGTTCTATCTGCAACGGTATACATGCAGTTTCTGGAGCATTTCCATTTGCTAACTAAATCTTTTGTCAGAGTTCAGGGCAGGTAATGATTAGACTCACTCTACTGTCAAACCCTGATTCCTGCAGGAAAAAATAGTTTCTAAAATATAAGGGCACAATAACAATAGTTACATTTCTAACCTTTCTGGCTCATGGCTCTCTAAATCTTTCTTATGTAAAATAGGAAATCTGATTCTGGTATCCCTACCCAGCACTGACCCCCCAGGACATGTAATCAGCTTTGACTAAGCTAGATTCTTTTAAATGCTTAACACACTATATAGCAATATTAGAACATAGTAGTTAAGAGCACAGGCCTAGGAGCCAGACTGTTTGAATCTTGGCTCTGTCACTTAGCAATGGGCCCTGAGTAAGTTACACACTTCTGTGTGCCTCAGTTTTCTCATCTACAAATAGGGACAGTGTATCCCTTACCTTGTGGGGTTGTTGTCTTTACACATAAAGACCCAAGAGAAGTGCCTGATACACAGTGACTGCTCAAACAATGATAATTTATTGTTTTTACTAAAATATATATGATGTTAAATCTCTGTTCATACCATGTATTTCTCAAAAAGGTGTGTTTGCTGCCAAAAAGATGTGCTGCTCCTTGAAATAAGCATTTTTGGAGATATGTTAATTCTTTCAAGCCTCTGGGTAGTATTAAGTGATACGTAAAGACCTAGCTAAAAGGGTTCCTTACTGCATTATTTTCGTAAATTCCTACACCACAGGCTAATTGTGTATGTGATCTCAGGAGACCTCCACCACACATTTTTAAAACTGTTCTCCTTTTCATGGAAAAATGACTCAGAAGTGATTCTCTAAAAAGACATTCAGACACTTCTGTACATTTGGATGTAGAATTGCTTCTGTCACCAGGAGTGATCAAAGGAATGTCAGCGTGAAGGTAGGTACTACATTTGATTTAGGATATGTTAAATAGGATTTTTATAAAAGTGTTTATAAAAAAACTTTTTTTGCCCCTAGGAATAATTCGGGTTTCACACCAGCAGACACAGTGGCTATCATTTTCTGTTCTACACACAAATCCCTCACATTGGGTAAGTAATTCATAGAGCTAAAAGCCATGCATTATCCTCATGTAGTTACATCTGATGATTTTGAAATTCAAGGAACTCTTCAAATTAAATGGAACGAGGTATTGTCCACTCTGTTAGATGAAGAACAATAGCAAAGTGAGAATGGGTCATTGCTTTGAAATGCTGTTATTTGATCAAACCAATCTCTGAGGGCCTAAAATTTAACAGCATAGAATTTAGCATAATTTGTAATCATGTTTTCAATTCTCATGAAAGACTATCAATGTAGAATGTTAATATTAGAGGCTGGATAGGGGTAGAGGTGGGGGAGGATGCTGGTTCTGAAAAAGGAATTGGCAAAAACTTTGCTTTGGAAGGCTCTAGAGTTGTCCCTGGGAAATGTTAACTTCTTTCCCCGGAGCTCAAAGCAAGGTGCGAATAATGTCAGTGGTACCTATTTGATATTGACATTAGTTTGAAGTTCATTTGCAAATGTTATGTTATTTCTATAAAGAAACAATGTAGTTATCATTAACTCAATAGGATTAGCATTAAAAGTGGAATAAGTATTTATTTAATGGATAAAAATGGATTAAGGAGAAAAGTGCTATTTTTTACTTAGTTTTATCCAATTTAGTGGCATTATCCCAAGAACCTGTTAGACATCCAGAATCTATGTGTTTCGTCATTAAAAGTCATTAAGTAATTAGAAAATTGATTGAAATATACATCATTCACAAACTGCTTAAGGTGGTGGGCATGTTATGGCAAAACCTTACATTAGAAATTCCTCCACATTTTGGCATGCAACTCACTTAAGAGAGTGGAGAATTGTAACATTGCTCTAAGTCTGCTCGTGTTAAAGAAATTCACTCTGTAAGCTAGAAACGAAGACATTTAATGTTTTTACAAATCCCAAACACATTTGTCTGACAGAGTCAACTATCTCAGTCTTACCAAGTTTGGAAAATGATTTAGAAATTGGACAAACTCTTAAGGAGCTGTTGTTATCCTAGGGCTTCAGCTTCTTTGAATAAATTATGTATCTACAATCCATGCAAGGCCCTATTTTTGGTTTCCTTCATAATCATCATCAAATTGAAGTTGAAATGGCCTTGGAAGCCATATCCCAGTCCTGATTTTGTGACCCTGAACAAACCAGTTAACCTCCCTGAACCTTAGCTTTCTCATCTGTAAAATGAGCAGAAAAACACTCGTTTTTGTAAGGGTATTTGTTAAGTACCTAGCACGGCACTTGGTAGATCATAGGTAGTCAGTACTTGACAAAATATGTTCAGTAATTGTGCCATGAATAGATTACTGTGGACTAAATGAGATAGCCCATCTAAAAGCTTGCTGTGCTACCCCGCACATAGTGGGTGCTCTATAGGCAGTGGCTATGATTATTCGTTATTCATAACTATATTAGCATATTAATTATAACTGTTGCCACTTCCAGAGTTCCAGTCCCCTGACCCCTGTCTTTTAGGTTTTCCTGTAACAAGTGTGGTTTAGTGGTTGACCTCAAAGAAGTCCTCATGCACTTCTTTCCTATGTGTTTTACCGTGTTGTGATATCTGGTGTTCCAGGTCTTCTAAAAATTAAGGTCTTCTAAAAATTGTAAAGTTAGGGAATCCAGAGGTGGGTGCTGCCAGACTCCTCGGTTTTAGAGTCTAGGATTCAAATGAGCCCATGTCCTTAGTGTCCATGCCAAACCACAGCTGCAACAAATTCTTTTCTGCATTTCTGCATTGGGCTTCTAACCTGACCCACTCCTAGGGATTTGCTTTTGTCTGAAAAGCCAAAATGGATTTTCTTTATTTCTCCACAGAGTTTTTCTGTGCTAGAGCTAGCTGTGTTGAACAAAGAGCAAGAAGCATACCCAAGAAGCATATTGCAATGTGATCAGTATTCTTTCCTTTTCTATTAGAAAAATACCTGCACATTCAATCATTTTTTATTTTGTCTCTTCATTTTTCTTAATCCCAAAGCCATACACTTCTGTTTTTTATGCTTTCTGAAAGCTAATTTTCAGGCAAGCAGATAGATGCTCTGAACTAGTAGTTTTGCTAAAAAGGATTGGGTTAACTTGGATTTTTGTTTGCTTCTGCAATGTTCATCCATGAAATAGATACTTAGATCCTCTAATAGAGTACTGTACTAGTGTGGTATCTAAGTAACCATGTAGTATAAATCCTTAGTTACTTTCATAACATGACACACCCAAGTTCTCTTGAAATTATAAGACCTAAATACTCAACCTGGCTCTTACACTGATACTTTCCCAGGCCTCAGTTTCCTTGGCTCTAAGATTAGATAATTTTACTTCCAACTCAAATATTATGTTGTACCCAGGTGTGATTCCTGCAGCCTCCTAGGTAGCATTTATAAAAATGGCCTCTTTGCTGTTTCCCTTACCTCAGAGAGGTCACCCTTGTTTCCACATATAGCAAGGGATGTTTGGATGCTGTTGCTAGAATGGCCTTGTTAAGCCCTATAAATTTACAGTATCCATTTTCACAAGATCCAATATATGTTTCTCTCTACTGGTGACCCGACCTCACTGGTACAGAGGATATGCCATGACAGTGACCTGAGCTACAGGCCGATAATGATCCTAATAGAAATTCTTATCTGCATCGAAATGAAAGAACATCACACAGAGTGTGAAGAATTCATATTCCAGAAAGCAGGGAGAAATTTCAGGTAATATCACTCAGAGTTATATTTTCTCTCACCTCTCACAAAACGATGAAATACAACATATCATAATATACTATTTGGCACTTTGAAAATATATCTTTCCATTGCAGTCACTACCATAATATTTCTTCTAAAGATTTTACGTATATATAACATCTCGAGTAGAATATATTAAGTGAAACTTATAAAATGCCACTCATTATTACATCCAGTATTTGCATTTAAGAAAAAATGATTGCAGGCCAAGTGATACCCATGTAACTAATGAACCACAGATAAAAACTCTTGCTTGAGAAGCTTTCTGAATATTCTCTTGCATATACAACTTCGATTTATTTTATTGTTCCTGCTTTTGCCCCGTCTCAATCTCTTGCATGTACTCGCATCTACACACATGCTGAATTTGATTCATTGCTTTTATTAGTGCATTTGCCATTGATTGATTAGTTCTTCGTATTAGTACTTTTTCTATTGATTGATTGCAGATGAAGTGACTATTTGACCTTTAATTATGAGGCTTCCTATTGAAAATGACATTGAGCTATGGCTTCACATAATCCATCTGGAAAGCCTGACATGATGCCATTCCCTGGAGTTCGTTCAGGAAGAAAGAGGAGGCCTGGAGGAAGTGCAGAGCTATCACTGTGCTTCATCTAAAACAATACTACGGGGCTTGTTTGCTGCTCTCCTATAGTTTCAGCTCAGGGTTGAGGTAATTTTATATTTTGTCAAGACAGCATCACTTGCTGTGGGTTGCCATAAAAGCCATGAACTCTCCCAAATTATTCTCTAGTTTGATGGTGATTTTTGTGTAATCATGAGAAGATATTTTGTACAGTGGAGACTGAAGAACAGCTTGTACCCTGGTAAATAATGGCTCAGTGCACAGTCAGTCAATAGATCTCATCAAGAAAGAAATTAGATCCAAGATATCCTGTGGAATTGGTGTTTTACTTTTATTTATCTTTTTCTCTTGGGTATTCAAATCACTTTACTTATCTAGAGTTCCAATATAGGTAGAAAACTTTCTCACTATACCTAGCAAGTGAATATTTCAGGATGGTTGAGGTCCTTAAGCATATATTAGTTTTTAATGTTTTTAAATAGCAAAATGAAAGCACATAGTCTCAGAGCATGTCATATGACTGTTGGCAGTCAATGGTGAGACTCGTAATTTTTCCTTATTTCCAAAAGCAGTTCTGAATTGAATGAGTGCTATTTAAATTTTAAATAGAGTGTCATGATCAATGCTTGTTAAAAGTCTGCTATGTAGCCTGCCTTTTACAGACACTTGTGTACAAGGCAACTATTCCTCACATTGTTTACATGCACTTCACTATGGGTCTAGTCAGCCACACAGCTGAACTATAACAAACTATGCATTAAACTAAAAGAGTGTAGCTTTTTGGTACACATGGGATTCTAGCAAGAGTGGACAGAGCACATACCTGATTCTAGTCTGGATTCAAGTTCTGGTTCTCTCACCAAAAGCTGGAACAAATTGCTTAACTGCCGTAGTCCTCATTTCCTCCTTTGTACAATGAGAAGATAGACAAAATGATACCTGAGATTCCTTCCAGTTTTAAGTTTCTGTGAGTCCGTGACTGGTATTTCCACTCTATGAAATGATAACAGTTTCCCTATTATATGTGCAAAGGAAAAGCTTTCTTGAAAGGAGTAGTTATATAAATAATGTTACAGTATTGCAGGAAAGGAAATATAGCTGTTGCTTCTCCCTAAAGAGATTGAAAAATATATTCACACTCCCCAAAGATTGTCATATGAGAAACAAAATCTTAAAAAGATCTTGTTTTTCATTTTAATTGGAAGCTTTTCCAAGAATGTTAAAGGATTACCTATAACTTGAGCTGAAAAGATTATTTAATAACCTGTGAGTCATTTTGTTAAGAGGAAATAGGATTGAAATACAAAATTTTGCATTTCTGGTATTCTTTTCTTCCAAAGCATATTCTATTTGACACCTAAAGAATATTATCTTAATAAAACTACCCTGCAACTGAACTAGGAAGCACTTTTTTAAAGCTCTTAACCCAGTAACTCATGTTACCTGAACAGCCTTGAATCTTAGCAAGTCAGTAATTATTGTCTTATTTTGCATACAAAGAAATGAAAGCGTAGAAAAAATATTTTAAAAATTTATTCCGGATCATATCCCAGAAATTAGATTCCAGGCCTCCTAACTTCCAGAACTGCACCAAAGACCAAAAATTGCTGTACTGGTGCCAAGTATTGTAAATGTTTGATCTTGGCATGGGTTTGAATTGTTTTATTAATTGTTCACAAAGAAAATTGCTTCT